AGAAGTGGTGACGAACGATTGGCGAATAATATTGCAAACGTATTCTGATATTGTTTAACAAAAGATCTATGTGAAACCCATATGTATCAAGAATAACCAATTAAGATTCCCCCAAATCAGAAAGCTTAATAAAACTCTAACGTATTGGACAAACAATCAGGGTAAAGAAATTAGGAATGAATAAGAGGAAAGTGTCGGTTCGGAACAGCTCATCTGGAGCAATCCCGTTCTAAGCTCAACAATTTTTCTAACTAACGAGGGAACCTCACCAACTGATACACTCCGTTTGAGCTCATATTTTGCTCATAGGTAGGGCTCATAGTGTAGATAAAAACTCTAAAAGGATTCGTCCCCATGCTGCTTTGTCGCAGAGAAACAAGCACAACAAGTTTCTCTGAAAATGACATTATTGTATTTTGTATTAAAAAAATTTATTTTTATATCTCAATAAAAGATGTTTTCACGAGCTGGTATTTTTAAAACTGCTATTACGCATGGTCGCTTATTCATCTCGTTCGTTCTATCATTATTGTGACGTCATCGTATACGTATTCCATCTGCATTTTCTTTCGTTCAGCTGCCATACGTGTATGCATATACACTCTCTTTTCAAATAATATGTTCCAGTATATTCGGTTTCTCTCTATATGAATCATATATTTTCGTTTTCGTACTCTCTGGTAAGTTCTCTTTATTTGACTACGGTCTAGTAAATTCTTTCACTTTCCGCACTCTTGTGTATATATATATATATCCGTTGCTTGAAATAATAAACATTCCATACACGTAATAGAATGATACTTCTTTCTGACTAACAACTATTAGTAGTCAACTAACATCAGAAAGTAAACAAATAGTAAGCAAATTTTTATTTCATTATTATTTATATTTATCAACAATACAAATGATTAATCCTCACAACGTCTTAAAAGTATTATCTAACCTGATATCAGATAAATTATTCCGTTATTCACCATCTTCAATCAATCCTGATGAAGAACATGTTGCATCAAATTTCTATAAATGTTTGGAGTCCATTCTGGAAAGTACTTCTCATATATTTGAAACGGAAAATACATTGGATCATGACGATGAATTAGATGATGAAAATATAGAGGATCCCTTACCATTGACATCCACAGACGAGCATCTTGATCCAATCAAAGATACTGTTTGTGAACCAATTGATGAATATAATTTACAAAATCATTTCTCACTCGATTACATGAAACGTGTGGTTGATTATTATGATGAAATAAATCCAATTAGAGGTAAACGAAAAAGAAAATGGCGAACTGCAAAACATCGCTTTCAACGTGTACCAAATCCACAGTGTATTGCTCGCTTTCGTAAGTATATAGAAGCAGGCGGTGCAAAACAACACAAAGTGGATAATGTCGATATTTATGTTTATGATCAATTCGAGCATGCTCGACATAATTTTTTATCGGTTCATGATATTGACTTACGAAGGCGGGGTCTTAAAAAAGCTCGTGAATTAAATTTAAATGATTTTGAAGCCAGTGAAGGTTGGTTATGGAGCTTTAAATATCGACATGGAATTTGTACTCGAAAAATAACGAAATTGGTCATGAAAAAGGTTGTTGAAAGCCAGGAAGAAATTTATCAATCGGCTAAAAATTTCGTTTTGGAAACAAATAAAATCATAGAGGGATACACTCCAAATCAAGTACTGAACACAGATCAGATAGGTGTTGAGTTGGAGGTTCATGGTGGTAGAACATTAACCCATAGTGGAGAAAAATCTACTTGGGGTTCTGTTCGATCACTTTGGGCTGCAACTCATGCCTATACCATACAACCAATAACAACAATGGATGGATGTGTTCTTAACCCACTATATATGTGTTTAAAAGAGGTATCAGGACGTATTGGTGATAATGTGAAAAAGAACTTGTTTCATGCAAAGAACATTGTACTTACTTGTTCTAAAAGTGGTAAATTAACATTGTCACTTGTCACCTATTGGGTTAATCAGTGTTTAATTCCAAATCTACAATCCAGAACGTTGTTACTTGTCGATAGTTTGCCACATCAAGTTCATCCAGAAGTTTATAAAGGATTGAAACATTTTGAATATAGAGTAATCCCACCAAAAACTACCCCAATAATCCAACCTCTTGATGTGTATTACAACCGCCAACATAAGAAAATTGTACGTCGTATATATGACCACGTACGGCTAGATGAAATAGATATCAATTTATCCGAACGTAATAATTTGATCAAGTTGCAATCATTAGTACATTCGCAAATGTGTTCAAAAGCTTTTCGACCGATGATAAAATATGCCTGGTTCAAAAGCGGGTTTTTGAAACATGATCCAGGGCCATTTCAGAATGCGAAAGACATCTGTTTCACATTTCAAACAGATAAATGTCATGAAAAAAGTTGTATTGATGGACCGATGATTCGATGTTCTTGGTGTCAACAAGAACTGTGCTTCACTCATTTTTTTTTGAACTATCATTACCATTAGACTGATTAATCATTTTCTTGTTCGTTTATTTTGTTTTCATTCGCTATATGTATCAGTTTTTTTCTCGGTAAATAAAGAAAATAGCTAATAATCTTCTGCTTTTCTACAATAAGTAACCATGCGTAATAGCAGTTTAAAAAAAACCAGCTCGCGAAAACATCTTTTTATCGAGATATAAAAATAAATTGTTTTTTATACAAAATACAATAATGTCATTTTCAGAGAAACTTGTTGTGCTTGTTTCTCTGCGACAAAGCAGCATGGGGACGAGTCCTTTTAGAGTTTTTATCTACACTATGAGCCCTACCTATGAGCAAAATATGAGCTCAAACGGAGTGTATCAGTTGGTGAGGTTCTCTCGTAAGTTCACGTTTAAAGAAAATTTCCTTACCAACTAAATGCACTTGATCGAAGGATTTTTCAAGAACTTTTTTGACTTCTGTATTCATAAATGACAATTAACGATCGGCGCAACAGAAGCAGCACTATAAATCGTAAGTTAAAGTTAAAACAGGCCTTATGAATAAAAACATTTATTTTTATAAACAACGATGTTTATGTGCAAAAAAAGTGATTTTTTTCTGAAATGATTTATGTTAACTTAACTTTTAAACTTTTAAGTACTTCACTTTAATTTTATCTACATTTTCAGTTTACTTATAAAGTTAAAGTCCCAGCTCTATTGAGCATACTACTGAGTGTACTTTTTAGATAATGTCATTTTTTTCCCTGATGCTGACCTTTCTGCTACTATATTTTGTGGAACTCACATATATTTTCGAAGAAAAAAGAAAATAGTGAGTGTAAGTTTTAAGGTCAAGTTTTTGCGGCCCCCCCCCCCCCCCCCCCATTACAGACACATAGCAACGAAAAAGAACATTACATACATACCCCCTTCTCCTCGCTACAGACAGTTCCCCTTACAGACCATAGCAACTTCACAAAAAAAGATTCTACTCGAAGTATATAAATGAAAAACGACAACATTTCCTAACAATCAATTATCATTAGAAAAGAATTATCGTCTCTGAGAGAATTTAAATATATATGTTGCCATCAGCAGAGTGAAAGTAAAAAAGATATGTGAGTTCCACATTTCAGCCCCAAAGGGGCTGCGCTAACAAGCTTTTTTCATCCAATCTGCAGTTATATGTTCTTATTTTATATTTTGCTTTTCCTGTTTCATTTTTTCTTATGAAGATCTTCGGGTTAGATATTCTATAATAAAAATTTGTCGTGAGTCTTCTCAGTAAAAATAAACACATGAATGACAGTGCAAAAAATCTTTCACTCAATTCAATTTTACTCGACAAGAGACTACACTCGTCTATCGCCGTATGACACTGCAGAATTTTTCATTGAAACTTCCTTTCGAAGAAACAGCTTTGTGATAAAGTGTCTGTTGTGTGTCTCAAGCCTTATAAGATGTATACGGTAGCAGTTAACTTAAGTGATGCAGATGGTTCCATCTCACAAATTAAATATTAAAAAGAGTGAACTAAAAAAGAACAATTCGTTAGCTAGTCCTGCTTAGCTGTCAACTTATGCGTGAGATATCTTTGAAGCTTTATCAACTCATCATTAGCCATCAAAATTGAGAAATAACAGACATAGTTATGAAGAATTGCGAGTCAACCAATTGTTGTTTAAATGAAACATACACAGGCGAATATAAAAATAACGGTAACAATGATTGAACTTCATAACAAAAGTACTCCTTCTCATTAATCTTCTACCAAATCATGTAAAATTTAGAAAGAAATACTTTTATATCATGGCGATAGTATGGTGCAGCATTACTAGCGATGACATCATAGATCATACCAGAGGTGGGATTCGGTTGCCTTTTTTCCTAACCGAACCGATCGTAACCGAAAAAATCTCTAACCGAACCGAACGTAACCGACCGAATTTTAAAAATTTTTCAACCGAACCGACCGTAACCGAAAAAATCTCTAACCGAACCGAACGTAACCGACCGAGTTTTGAAAAGTTTTCAACCGAACCGAACGTAACCGATCGAATTTCGAAAAATTACCAAACCAACCAAACTGAACCGAGTGTACGAAAAACAAAGTTTAACCTATGTTAAGTGAGGCATTAGTACTTCATAAACAAAGATTTTATTATATACAAATCCTTATAATTTATTTTCATTAAATCAAAAATAATATTTTTACAATTCTTTGAAAAAAATAAAAACAATATCACATTAATGTAGTTCGAGTTTATCTGTATTATCAAGTCCTGGTTGATACACCTTGTATGAATGATTGAAAACCATATTGTTGACGACATCTGAAGATAAGTTTGAACGTTTTTGTGTAATGATGTTACCGGCAAGACTAAACTCTCGTTCAACAGCTGCACTTGAAGCCGATACAGAAAAAACAAGAGCAGCTACTTTTGAAAGAATAGGATAAGAACTATGCATCTTTTTCCAGAAAGACAAAGGATTATATTCAGCTTGAAGAGATTCACCTGAATTTGTTGATTTATCTCATCCTTGTTTAGTATACAACTCGATTTCTAATGCATGTGAAGAGGATCGTAAAGCAGACTGTTGATCTATATCATCTTCATCATTATCTTCTGCATTTGAATAAAAGTCATTTATAGATTTAATTGGATGATTTATGGACAATTGAGAATCTTTTCGAGTTGTTGGTAATTTAGAACTATTATCATTATCAAATAATAACATTTCTTGTTTGATATATTCTATGCATTGTTCGCGTTGTTCGACAGATAAATGTTTCATCTTTCGAGTTTTCGGATTTAAAAATATTGCCATCAGATGAATAGGATGATATTGAATTTTTTCTTTTATAATTTGTTTTGCTCTTTGACGAAAATATGCAAATCCGAAATCGAATAAAGTTAAACAGAAAAATATGAAAGAACAGTTAGAATTACCAGCCTTTATCTTGTTTTGAATCACCAGATTTAGTTTCCAGTGAAGAACTAATAATACAAATACTAGGAGCAACTATATGTATTGATGGTGTTTTTGATGATTGAATTCGTTTTATAACATATTCCCAGGGTTTAAGAAAATCAATCAATTTATTCAATAAGCATACATTAATTCTATTAAGTTTTGTTTTATTCAATTTCTTTTCAAAAATTTCATCAAGTGAAACTAAAGATTTGTTCACGCTCTCTAAACAGTTCATTAAAGAGAGCCATCGAACAATTGTACATTGTAAAAGAACAAATGAATTTCGATCTTCAAGATCTTGATTCAAATTCATCTATGAAAAAATTGAAAAAACTATAGTGTCTACAAAGCCGCTTCGTTCTTCTAAATCATCTAGCTTCACAACAAAGAAAACTTGGTATCAAAATTACCTTCTTCACATATTTGACCAGTTCCTTACATAGAACGATTGTAATTAAAATACGTTTAGCATCAATTGATAATTGTGAAATGAAGGAAACAGCATTAACTTTTTTATTCGATATTGTAGAATTATTAAAGCAAGCATTATTGATCCTTTTGTATAATGTTCAATTGATGAATCAGTTGATATAGAAATAGAAGAATTACTGGGTTGTGTACAAGAAGAAGGTTGATTATTTGAATCCAATAACAAACATTCACAATCATCCATAATATTCGAATGAATATTTCTAAAATATTTAATTTTTTTTTTCCTAATATTCAATTAGAAAAAAAACACTTACTCAACAAATTGAATATTAGAAACAAATACCTGAGTACCACCAACAAAAAGTTTAATATTAGCACCAAAATTGAATACTAGCAACAACACTTGAATGCGAACAACAACAAAACAAACTGAATACAACAACAACGAATAATGAACATCTAGAGAAAACAAAGAAAAAAAAGATTATTCATTGAATCATCACACTGCATTATGACTTGTTTACGTCTTGCAACCAATCAAAAAAAATGCGTAATAATATCTGAGTTACGAGCGACATCTAATTGTTGTGCAATCACCCTCTTTTTTTCTTGATATATCTCACCGAAAAAAAATCTCCTGAACTAAATTTGAAAAAATTATCAATTCTTCCCAACCGAACCGAACGTAACCGACCGATTTTTTAAAAAATCTCCAACCGAACCGACCGTAACCGAAAAAATCTCTAACCGAACCGAACGTAACCGA